GACCTTGTACAGGGTTTCTGAGGCTGTAAATCTTTACAGGAGCAGAAAGCCTCATCTTTCTCCCGTGGAACAGCTGGTAGTTTTGAACTACTGACCTTGCAGCTCACAACCTGATTCATAACCACTACGCTACCATAGCTTGTTGTTGATACTTGTTATTTTTGTTGATGGGAAAGGCAAAACCAAATATGAATAAAGTGTGCACAACTTAACCAAGGTTAATGAAGACACTCCAGGTATTTGCACGTTTCATTTTAATATTTGCTTTGTCTTCTTGAGCTTCCCTTTGAAATTTGCTATTCAGCTCTTTGACCTACTCATTTATTCCATTTGTCTTAGCTTCTCTACCCTGGAGAGCAAGTTTCAGAGTCTCTTCTGACATTCATTTTGGTCTTTTCCTTATTTCTTGTCTTCTTAATAACTTTTTGTTTTCTTCCTATGTGATATTCTTGATGTCATCCCATCAAAATGACACTTCTGATCTTCCGTTGTTAGTGTCTATTGCAGTAAATCTGTTCATGAGATGATTTCTAAATTTAGGTGGGATATGCTCAAGATCATATTTTGGCTCTCGTGGACTTGTTTTAATTTTCTTAGGCTTCAACCTGAACTTGCATATGAGCAATTGATGGTCTGTTCCACAGTCTGTCCCTGGTCTTGTTTTGGCTGTTGATATGGAGCTTTTCTACTGTCTCTTTCTACAGATGTAGTCAATTCAATTGCTGTGTATTCCATCTGATGAGGTCCATGTATAGTTGCTGTTTATGTTTTTTAAAAAGTATTTGCAATGAAGAAGTCATTGGTCTTGCAAAATTCTATCATCCTTTCTAACATCAAGGTCATATTTTCCAAATACTGATCCTACCTTCTTGTTTCCAACCTTTGTATTCTAATCACCAGTAATTATCAATACATCTTGATTACATGTTTGGTCAATTTCAGACAGAAGAAGTTGGTAGAATTATTCAATTTAACCATCACTGACTTTAGCAGTTGGTACGTAAATTTGAATAATAGTTGTATTCATTGGTCTTCAATGTAGGTGTATGGATATTATCCTATCACAGACAACGTTGTACTTCAAGATAGTAGATCTTGAAATGTTCTTGTTGATAATGAGTACAACACCATTCTTCTTCAATTGTCATTCCCATGTAAAGATATATGGGGGAACCATATGATACAGTAAACCATATGATTATCAGATTCAAATTGGCAAGTTCCTGTCCATTTCAGCTCACTGATGCCTAGAATATTGATGTTTATGCGTTTCATTTCATTTTTGACAACTTCTAATTTCCTAGACTAATATTTCATACATTTATCTATGTTTACAGCTGTTTGTTCTCATTTTGAATTGTGCCCCATCAGCAAATGAAGGTTCCGAAAGCTTCACTCCATTTGCATCATCACAGTCAACTCTACTCTGAGGAGGCAGCTTTTCCGCAGTCGTATTTTGAGTGCCTTCCAACTTGAGGAGCTCATTCTCTGGTACTATATCTGACAATATTCTGGTGTTCATTATAATGTTTCAGTAGTTAATATTCTGGTACTGACAGTGTTCCACTGCTATTTATTGTTTCCAGTGACTAGGTATTAGGAAGTAATCTGTCTCTCCTTCTTCCTAGTCTGTTTTAGTCTGGAAATTTGGCTAAAACATGCCCACCATTGGAGATCCTGTTGCTATTTAAAATACAGGTTTCATAGCTTCCAGAATCACAGCAACATGCAAACAACCACAGTATGACAAACTGACAGATGAGTGGTGGATGATTGAATATGGTTGAGGTGAATTTCTCCTTTGGTTATTTCTTTTGTATTGAGTATTTTCCCTGATGATTCAATAAATTATTTAATCACTTTATTTATGACCTAGTAATTTCATAATCTAGAGACTCTTTTGTAGGTATGTTTGGGAAGACACATTAAAGAAAATTCACCTCATATGGTCATAATAGCACACACACACAAAAAAAACAAAACCTGCTGTATATTCCCACATGGAATTGCATAGGAGTGTAAAAGAACACACTCTCATTCTAGTCAATGAAATTAAACTTATTTGTTTAGAAACAATGTTTAGAAAAAAGGTGTTATTATTTCTATAAAATTCAAAACATGCAAAATTAAATAACATGCTAATTTCTGCTACAACAAAACTATGGAAAAAGCAAAGGAATCATAAATGCCAAGTTGAGGAACATTGTTACATTTTTTTGAGAGTCAGCGGTAAGGTGGCAGTGGGATAGGATCATGCAGCAGCACATCAACAGCATTGAGTTCATATTGTAAACGTCAAGGAAAATGTAACGCTAAGCCCTTTAAACTCCACTCTCTCTCTATCCTATAAGCTAACCTTCTCATGTGCATGTCCATATATATTATTGTTTGTTCCAACTCAGCCACCCTGTACAGACACGGTTTTCCATCTGTAGAGCTTTGTGGAAGCAAAAAGCCCGCATCTTTCTCCTGCGGAGCGTCAGGTGGGCTCCAACCGCCCGTTTTATGGTTTTCAGTCCAGGGCTTATTGTACAGAGCTACTACTGTTCTCCCTCATACATATTATAAACCCCAAAAGACAAGGTTATCACTTTTTTATTTAAATAGTCTTTTTTTTTTAAGTAAGATTAAAAAAATACTTTTTCCTCTGACATTTCAATTCTGCTGTTAATTTCATCCAGTGACATTTTGTTTTCAGATCATATATTTTCAGTTCTAGAATTTTCATTTGATTCTTTATGTTGTGTGTTTCTCTGTTGAGCTTTTCGATTATTTCCTATGCTTATTAAAAAGGAATTGCAAGCAAATTCTGAGTAATGAAATGCTGTACTAGAATTGTTGGATGGTGAGGAAATTTTTTATAATTTATTTAAAAATATATGAATATGTTTTTAAATTGAATTATCACAGTTTTAAAATATTATCCCATAAAATAAATACTGAGACATTTGTACATACAACTTTAGTACAAATATCCAGGCATCCGTCAACAAAATGTGACTATGGAATAACATCACATTTCTCTGACTGAATTGTCATCTAGTAGAAGGATAGTTAAGGAGCTCTGGTAGCGTAGTGGTTACGAATCGGGCTGCGAACCTTAAGGTCGGCGGTTCGAAACTACCAGCTGCTCCGCGGGAGAAAGATGAGGCTTTCTACTCCCGTAAGGATTTACACCCTCGGAAACCCTGTACAGGGTCGCTATGGGTCGGACCCGACTCGACGGCACTTAACAACAACAACAACAGAAGGATAGTTAGTCAATCCTATAGTTCTTTTCCCAAAATATTTTTTAGAATCTCCAAGATGTTAATTCTTATTCATTACTCTTTCCCCAACTTTTTATTATGAAAGTTTTCAAACATACAAATTGAAAGACTAAAACAATAAATATCAATATATTATCCATGTACATTAAACATTTATCTAACAATTGGTAAAACTGTTAAACATTTTACATATTTGCTTAATTTTTGTGTGTACATTATAGTATATACATATACATATATGTGTGTGTGTCTGTGTGCTGTTTTCTAAATTATTTGTAAATAAATTACAGCCATCATGACACTTAGCCTAAACATTAAGACTTCACTTTGCATATTGTAAGAATAAGTATAGCCTATATAACTACAGTATCAGTACCAGATTTAAGGAAATTAATAATAATTCTACAATTTTATGTAATGTCAGCACATACTCATATTTTCCCAATTATCTCAATAAAAGCTGCTAATATCATTTTTACTCTCTTCTAATTTAGAAAATGGAGCTCTGGTAGCATAGTGGTTATGAATCGGGCTGCGAACCTTAAAGTCAGCAGTTCAAAACTACCAGCCACTCTGTGGGTGAAAGATGAAGCTTTCTGTTCCCATAAAGATTTACAGCCTCAGAAACCCTGTACAGGGTCACTAGGGTCGGAACCGACTCAACGGCACTTAACAACAACAACACTCTAGAAAAATTTTCCTTATCTTTGTTTTTTAAAACCTAAATGTTTTAAAGACTCCAAAGTTGTAAATTTCACATTCTTTATTTTATCATATCCTCATAGTACTGTTTAACTTTATTCCTAATCCCAAAATTCCTGTGGCAACATGGAAATATCTTGTTCCCCAATAAACTATTACTTAGTGGTTCTAGTTCTATTGCTAATTAATGACTGAATTAATCATCATTTACTATAAAGAGTTGAAAACAGTGAATTTGTAATTTTATCATTCCTTTTATATTCTTCTGTTAAAAACAAGCACACAAACTTCTGTTTTACAAAACTTTTTCTTTTCATGCTTCTTTTTTTTTTTTTGAGGATCACTAAGGACTCATAGGTTGTTCTTTATTCAGGATTTTATAGTTATTTTTCTAATCAAATTATCCTGAAATTGGCTACATATCCCTCTGTCTCCTAAGCTTTTTTTCATATAATCCCTTAGTTTTTGAGAGCTGCCTTGATTTATGTCTTAACAAATATTCCTGAAAATCCTTCAAATTGCTTGTATTTGTTCACTAATCAAATAGTTCTCTTCCTCTGAGTTCAGGGCAACCATAGTCACTAGAAAGTGAGGGGAAACTCCTGGAAAGGAGACAAAGAAGAAGGAGTATTAGCAATATTTGTGTCTAAATTCTGCACAAATCTTTGACTCACCCTAAACAACTCATGCAGATTGTAAAGCAGCCTAGCTAAGGAGAAAAGGACTGAGCTTAAATCTGAACGGCCACCCAGAAGACAGAGTATGCAGTTAGGGTCAGGCGTAAAAGAGTACAGAAAACATTTTATAATAAAACATGGCTTCTTTTAGAAAATAAACTTTCTGGAAAAGAAACTTTCAAAAACATGATTTTAAAGCCCAATGTTTTCTTTAACAAGAGATGGAGTTTGTTAAGTAGATGATTTTGAAGGCAATAATAAGTAAAATAAATCCATTAAGTATACATAAATTACAGTGAACATCAACTGGAAAATGTGGACACTAAGATGAGTAAATAGTTTTTATACATACCTGAATTACTTCATAAAGATGCACCTGAACACTCCCTAACAAAATAGGATAATTTTCTGAATCTTCATGTTTCATTAGTTCCACGTAAATATTATTCCGGTCATCATCTTGACGTCGGGGAATCTCAATATTAAAATGCATTTTTTTAAAAAGCACATTAAATTTGCAGTCTGAATTTCAGATATAATGTCTGATTAAATACATAATTATATTGTATGCATACCTAATGAACAGTTTTTGTATGTAACTCCGTAGCCCTGTAAATTTTTTATTTCACAGTCATATATATCTTAAAACCAGCAACAATCAGGATCTTGTTTGTCCATCTGATGTCAGTTTTAGTTTTTATGGCATACCCATTGTTTACATTATCTTTTTAACTCTAACAAAAGTCCACTCTCATCTCGTTACCAAAATTCCATCACTAAAGGTCAGGCATCTAATATTCTTGCCAGTCTCTGTTTTTATAACCTTTTGAAAGAATATGTAGCATTACTTCAACTCAAAACTTTCTCAACCTTAAGCTCAGTAGCACAATATCATTATTTTGTGAGCTTTAAGAACCCATACAATCTGTTGCTGATTAGTTTAAACAAACAAACAAAAAAAAGCCTTCCACCCCAAGATTCTAGGTACCTTTCTATGGCATCTTTTCCCACAATTGTTAAGTTTGTGACTGTTTCCCTGAAAAATTAGAAAAACTAATTGTAAGTGTCAACTTGTGTACCATTAGAGGGGTTAAGAATGCAGGCTCCGTTTTCCAGAAATTTGGCTTATAGATCATTAAAACCAATCTAGCCAGTGGAAAACTATAAATACTGAGTAAAATATCTTCTTAAAAGCACAGAAGAGTTCATGGCAAGCAAGGAGTTGTTGTTGTTGTTGTTATGTGCTATGGAGTAATCATGCAAAACTCCAAGTATTGGCAGAAATTTGGAGAAGTGAATTAGACCCTGAAGTTGCACTTGTACTGTGGGCATTTCCCAGGTGACCCGGAACTGGAGTTTTCAAAGTCTTGAAAGGCAGAGAAAAAACAAGGCAACCACATGTCCCTAAACTTCCTTCCATAAAGTGAAGAACTCAAAAGGCCATTGTCTCAGTGAATGAAGAAACCTTTCTCCCAACTCATCCATAGAAGGGAGCAGGAAGGCTTGCATTGGTAGGCAGAATGAGGGGGAAACTCTCTTAGAAGGTTTAACAAAAACCAGTTCATAAGGAATTGCAGCACATCTTCACAACCACTGTTGTTGTTGTTGTTGTTAAGTGCCTTCGAGTCGGAGCCGACCCATAGCGACCCTGTACAGGGTTTCCAAGGGTGTAAATCCTTACGGGAGTAGAAAGCCTCATCTTTCTCCCGCAGAGCGGCTGGTAGATGGTATGAAAACCCTCAAGCATAGGATGTCATTTGAAGTGATCTCAAATGATAGTGGCCTCAGGTGATTGCCTAATCTCTCTTCCACAGAATGGTTTGTGGGTTTGAATTTCTGACCTTTGAGTTAGCAGCCCAAAACTTAACCCACTTCAAAACCAAGACACCTCCAGATGACTTAGAAGCAAACACAAAGCTTCCTTAGTGCTGCAACTTTCATCACAGGCCTCAAAGAAATCCCCCAAATAGATAACTGATGTTAAATTGAGGGGTTACAATTGAGATGACATGAAATGTATGATTTGGTAAATGCAAAACGATGATGGTCTGCTTCCTTTTATGTAAACTTCCAATTAATTCATAATAAAAATTTTTTTTAAAGAAAATTTCAAATTTCCATTTACAGCACTTATCTGTCCAGATCTGGATACTCTAAAACAATAATTTTGCTTCTTTTTTTTCATTATTTTTTCTGATTTTTCTTCTAGTAGATTAATATTGAGAGATTTGTTTTTAGTCTCACTAATTCTGTCTTTTATTGATTCGATTTTCTTCTATGTCCTTTCAATAAAGTGTCTATTTCTGAAACCTTGGTATTAATCTTCTAGATTTCTATTTGCTGTTTTTACATGCTTTCTAATTTCTTCATGTATATTGTCAGTTTGTTCTTGTATGGGACACCATCAAGAGGCATAACTTATGTGATAGGAATTCAAAAACAGGAAGGGACCGAAAAAAAAAAAAAAAAGGTACATATAAAATTGTTAAAGATTTGATGTGAAAAAACTTTCTAATATAATGAAATACAAGACTAAAAATTAAAGAGTGGAAAAAAATAAGCCAAGTTACCTGCAGCAATAAACAAGCAGGAGTGGCAATACTAATCTCTCATAAAGTAAACTTTAAGACAAAAATCAGCATAAGAGACAAAGAAGGACACTATCTCAAGGTCAAAGGGTCAACTGAGCAAGACGACATAACCATAATAAATATCTATGCTCCCAATGAAAAAGCACCAAGATATATGAAACAAACCTTACTAGAATTGAAGAAAGGAATAGATAAATCTACAATTATAGTGGGAGATTTTAATATGCCACTTTCGAAAAGGAACAGAGCAAACAGAAATAAACTTGACAAAGTTTATTTATTTATTACAGAGGAACTAAACAGCACAATCAACCAACTTGACCTCATAGATGTGTACAGAGCATTCAACCCCCAACAACAGCACAATATACAGTCTTCTCCAGTGCCCATGGAACATTCTCCAGAATTGACCATGTGTTAGGTCACAAAGCAAGCCTCCATGAATTCATAAACATCAAAATACTACAAAGCATCTTTTCAGACCACAATGCTATAAAACTAGAAATCAACAATAAAAAGACCAAGGAAATAAAGTCGAATACATGGAAACTGAACAACATCCTGCTGAAAAACAACTGGGTAAAAGAAGAAATAAATGTGAATTCACAAAGTTCCTAGAAACAAAAGAGAATGAAAACACAACATAACAAAATCTTTGGGACATGGCGAAAGCAGTGTTGGTCTTTAATTTTCTTTCTTAGTGACGTACTTGCCTAGTTTTGGTATGAAAGTTATGCTGGCTGCATAGAAAGTGTTAGGAAGTTTTCTGTCCTTTCCTATATTCTGGAATAATTTGAGAATTGGTGGCAGCTCTTCCTCGAATGTTTGGTAGAACTCACCAGTGAAGTCATCTGAGCCTGGACTTCTCTTTTGTTATGGGTCTGTTCAGGTTTTCTATTTCACTGTGTGTAAGGTTAGGTAGGTTGTGTTTTCCTAAAAATAGATACATCTCTTCTAAGTTTTCAAATTTGTTGGAGTACAGCTCTTCTTAGTATTCTATTATTCTTTTGATTTCGTTTGGTTTCATTGTGATATCACCCATGTGGTTTCTAATGTGAGTTATTTGTGTCTTGTCCCTCTTTTCTTTTGTTAGGTTTGCCAATGGTTAGTCAATTTCATTAATCCATTTAAAGAACCAACTTCTTGTCCTGTTGATTCTTTCTATAGTTTTTCTGTTTTCCATCTCATTTATTTCTCTCTTATCTTTATTATTTCTTTTCTTTTGGTGACTGTTAGTTCCCTCTGTTGGTCTGTTTCTAATTGTTGGAGATGTTGTGTTAATAAGTTAATTTTGGTTCTTTCTTCTTTTTGGCTGTGTACATATATCGCAAAATTGAAACAAGACTTTCACCTCATACCGTATACAAAAACCAACTCAGCATGGATTAAAGACCTAAATGTGAACCCCAAAATTATGAAGGTCATCAATAAAAAAATAGGAACAAATGTGAGGACTCTAATACAGGGAATACACAGACTACCAAACATTTTGAAAACTACACAAACAAAAGTAGACAAAATAGATGAGTGGGACATACTAAAAATTAAAAACTTATGTGCATCAAACGACCACTAAAAGAGTAAAAAGTGAAACCACAGAATGGGAAAATTTTTTTGCAATGACACATCAGACAAGGGACTCATTTGTAAAATATATAGGAAACTACAACACCTCTACAAGAAAAAGACAAATAACCCAAATTAAAAATGGGCACAGGACATGAACAGACACTTCCCTAAGGAGGAGATCAGGGCATCCAACAAATATTTGAAGAGATGTTCACAATCACTAGCCATTAGAGAGATGCAAATCAAAACAACAATGATATATCATCTCACACCAGCAATAACAGCAAAGATCAATATAGTAGAGGAAAATAAATGCTGGTGAGGATGCGGAAAGACTGGGAGCCTCCTACATTGTTGATGGAATTGCAAAATGGTCCAACCTCTCTGGAAAGCAATATGGCACTTCCTCAGAAGGTTGGAAATAGAAATACGTTATGATCCAGCAATTCCTCTACTTGGTATTTACCCACAAGAAACACTAGCCATAACACGAGTAGATATATGCACACCAATATTCCTAGAAGCACTATTTACAATAGCAAAAAGATAGAGACATCCTAAGTGCCCATCAACTGAAGAATGGATAAACAAACTATGGTACATACACACAATGTAATACTACGCTACTTTGAAGAACAACAAGGAAGCTGCAAGCCACCACATAACACAGATGAACCTTGAGGACATTGTGTTGAGTGAAATTAGTCAGCCACAAAAGAAGAAATTCTGCATAGGACCACTACTGTAAAAGACTAAGAAAAAGAACCCACCCTAAAAGGAGGTGGGGGGGAATTATATATATATTTGCTGATCACCAGGATGTATGGGATGAGAGGAGTGGAGGGAAGGGAAGATAGAGCACAAGGTAAGGAACAAACACAGGATAGCTTGGGTGCTGGTGGGGCAGGGGGGCACAATACACAAGAAAGGGGAGGGGAAATGGAAGAACAAGGCTGATGGGAGAACAGTTAGGCAAGTTCTAATGGGCTAAGTGGGACACAGGTAAACAATGAACAACTTTGGAACAACAGGGCTATGGGATACAGGGATTGAGGCATGGTTTGAAGGGGTGAGAAAGTGGAATAATGTTAAGATGATTGGCTGTCTTTTGACTCTTGGTCTCCCTTTCCTTGTTGTTGTTGTTGTCAGGTGCCATCAAGTCTGAACCGACTCATAGCGACCCCATGAACAGCAGAACAAAACAATGTCCGATCCTGGCCCAACCTCACTACCGCTGCCATACTTGAGTCCATCAATGATGCCACCTGGCCAATCCATCTCATTAGGGGTCTTCCTCTTTTTCT